TTTATTCATAACCATGACATGCAACCCCAAATGGGCAGATATTGCAAAAAATTTCCAAACTGGCAAAAAGTTGAAAACAGACCTGACTTGGTAGCCAGAGTTTTTAATATTAAGCTGAATGCTCTTTTAAATGATATCTGTAAATTCCATTTATTTGGCAAAGTAATAGCTAAAATTCATGTCATTGAATTTCAGAAACGCAGACTGCCTCACGTTCACATATTATTGATATTAGATAGTGAGTCCAAATTACGTTCCTCTAATTAATTCCCTTTCAATGTGCACGAATTTTGTGCACCGGACCACTAGTTTCAAATATGTTAGATAACGTGAAATCCAAATGTCAGTCTTAGAGAATGTTCGTTCATTTGACATATATTTAACTGAGCTTCATGCAGTGTCCATTAGAACCTCTGTTTCTAACCATACATGGCCATTAGACACTTGAACTGTGTCTAGTGCGACTGAGGAACTAGATTTAAGTTAATTTAGATGTGTAATTAAATAATTACCTGGTGACTTAGTGCCATGGTATTGGACAGTGCAGGTCAAGACGCTGGGTGAGCTTAGATTCGTTTACAGTGGATCTCAGTTTTCTTTTGACATTACTGCTTAGTGGCATGGGTGATGATGGCGTCGACCACTGAAAGACTTACCAGGACTTGATGAAAAACAGTTGACAGAGCAGATGTGGCATAATGGATGCCCAACATTAGATTAATTATAGTAAAATAACAGCTACGAAAATTTAATGTTTATTTTTGTATAAATGAATATTTTGTTTTTTATTTTTGCTCTCTTGAAAATTGCATAACTGACCAAGAGTGACACTTGGGAGAAGTCTCCCTGGATGTAACATTTCCAGGAAAGGAAGCTGCACTTGTGAATTTTATTAATCCACTAGACAGTTAGTGTCTCAGTTTTTCTGAGTGTTCTTTCTTTGTGGAGTGGGATGTTTAGTGATGTGGGCAGATGTTTGCCCACTAGAATCCAATTATTGAAGAAACCAAACGGATATTTAGAGTCCTTATTCTTAAGAGAATTATATTCAAGGGGGATTAGCATATTTTAAAAAATCATCTTAAAGAGAGATTTCTGTTCTTGCTCCCGATTTCTGTGTGCTTGGTATGTAGAATTTGAGGAGTCTTGTGTAGTGCACCCAAAAAAGAAGTAATAGTGTGTGTATGTGTACCGAAATCTATAATTTGATGAAAGTTATTTGTACATTGACCTGAAAATTTACAAACAAATTTTTCAGTAGTTTTCCGATCTCCACATTCTGGATTTTTTTAAACTGTGATGATTCATCATCACTTCTTTCTAATGTTTGAAAATAATTTGTGTTTACATTTCTAAATACCTCTTTTAAATTTTCCAAAGACAAACTATGGGAGTAGAGCACCCTGTAACTGGCTGGGCTTTAGTTGATACGTGAACTCTTCCACGTGCACTTTGTGTGTCTAGTTGGACAGCAATTAGAAGTCACCTTGAGCTTTATCCTGAAAGAAGGCTGACATGGATAATTTCATTAAGATATCTTTATGCCTGTTCATATGGGAAACACTACATATTTTGGGGGAACTACAATAGAAAAAAGACCTGCTATCCCTTCAAGCATTTATAAAGTCTTTTTTTCTCTGCCATGTTAGAAGAAGAATTTAAAGGGGCTATCAAAAGAATACAAAAAAATGTAGTAAGATATGCAGAACCGTGGAAACTGATTTCCAAATAATTTTGTTACCTCACACATGGTAGAAGGAGTTAAAGAAGGCTTGTGAAGCTGTGATATGTTTGTTACAGTCATTTCCCAGGTAAAAATTTAAATTACCTCTAGGATCTCATAATTGATGTTGTTTGACATGTTGGGATTCTGTGTCAGATTTATTTTAAAGAGTTCTTTTTCTAACGATACTTTAAAGCTACAATACCAGAGATTTTTAATGTGTAGAGGAAATTGCCTATTAGAAATGGGAAAAGCAACGAGTAGAAGTGAAAGGAGCTTTTAAAGTAAATTTTAAAAAGTAACAGGTTAAAGGTCATAGGAGGCAATATTTGTAGGTGCATTAAATTTTATATGCAGGTTTTACAATTGTTCATTTCACTTCTGTTTTTTATTCACTCTTAGGCTCCTGCTTACCATCTTATTTTAGAAGGAATTCTAATCCTCTGGATAATCAGACTTCTTTTCTCTAAAACTTACAAATTGCAAGAACGATCTGATCTTACAGTCAAGGTAAGAAATTAAATCTCTATTTTATTATCTGGTGTATGATGATAGTTGCTACATCTTTCCTGAAGGATCTGTGGTAAAATATTTTCTGTACTGTAAGAAAATCAGGGGGAATGAAATACGGGACAGGCAGACTATGGGAAAGCCAAGTACCTACCCAGAGGAGTAGCATGGCACAGACTTCTTTACTTTACTAGGGACAAGCAGCAGTCTTACGAATAGATGATGAAAGGGAAGCACGGGGAGCTACTCGATTTTGCCATTTCCAAATGCAGTTACATGAGTTGTCGGGAAGGGCCCGCTGTTTCTGAAGCCTGTGAAGTTTTCCCTGTGGTCTTCATAAAGAAAACTGAGTTGGAAAGAATCCTCCTCACCCCCCACTCTCCACCTCCCCACCCCAAATCGAATTTTGATGTGTTCTGTATGGTAAGGGACCCAAGCCAGGTGAACCTTAGAAAGCAGAAGTGCCTAGACTAGAGGAACTATGGCGCTGCCCACTGCAGAGCATTGGTATGAGGGACAGGGTAGGAGCACTTAGTGACTGCCTCAATGCTTGGGAGGCAGGGCTTGTGAGAGATGTTTTCCCACAAAAGTCTCTGAAAGTTTGGTTCACAGGAAGCATTGAGTGCAGCGCAAAGCTGAAGCACTGGGCCTTTCTCTACTTCCTGGAGCCTCCCAGGAGGAAATGCAGTGGCGTGGAATTGCCACATCGATGTGCAGTTGCTGCCCTGGTTTTCCTGACCAGCTGCTGCTGTCCTGATCATTCATATTAAACTGTCCCCTAGGGAACATACAGCATATGTTTTTAGGGCAGAACGTCTGGCAGCCTGGGTAAAGCAGAATAAAAAGATCTCATTGCGTGATTGTCACCCTTAATATGCATATTTGAACCTCTATTTGGAGGAATACCCTACACTTGACCACAGATTTCTCCCTTTCCCCCGCCCCTTTTAATGAATACTTTGTGGGATTATCATGCCACAGAACAAACACTTTTTCTGTAGCATTGCAGTAAGACTGGGCCTTGCGGGCCAGAAGTCCTTTCCATGCTTTTCCCTTTGGTATTTAGGAACTTCTTGTGGATGATTAAGTGGCCATGAAACAGATTTCTAGCCCAACTTTTTAAAGGGTTTGATTAATCCAGATATTCTTAGTTTTAGTTTAGACATATCAATCCACACATATATACTTTTTTTAAAAAAAGAGCGATAGGTAAACATCTATAATAACAAAAGTGTAATATGCTAATTAGACCAGATGTCCTTCCGGGGTCGAGGGAAGCCCAGGTCCAGAGTGCCAGAGGGAAGCCTGTGCTGGCAGCCGGGGGAAGGAAGGCCTACTCTTGCACGAATTTCGTGCATCGGGCCTCTAGTAGTTTTAGAAAAATCCTCTGAAAGCAGACTTAGCGAGAACAAAATTTAGTAATCACTGACATCTAACGCTTCCAGCAGCGGGAGGAAGAAACTGAGTGCTGTGAATGAGAAGTGTCCTTCTCAGTTGGATAGACCTACAGAGGCTCTGAATGGCAGGGCATCGTGGGTGGGTTCTTACATCTCTGCACGCTAGCAAGGGGACAGTGTGCGTGGCACGTACACGGCTGCTGTTCTCTTCCATGAGGTCATTGGCAGAAACAGATGAGACATTTATTGGTTGATTTATTCAACCAGTATTTTTGAGCGCCTGAAAATCAGGTGTATGGATATGCTTTTGGTCTTGCTCTGGAGTTGCCTAATAGGAGAAAAATGCACAGAAGCATTTATTGGAAGTCTGAGACTAGAACTATTGGGAGAGGGTCTATTTGTGAGGCAAGAATTGCCGTGGCCACCATGTTAATTTAGGGGCCTCATCTCATCCTGTACATCCAGACACATTTTCAAAATTACCTTTTTTCCTGATTCAAAAAAAGATAAGAACACAAAATAATCAAAATACTTATAATGCATAAAGTAACAGATACAAGGAATAAAGTAGCTTTTTATGAGAAATTCCAAACAAAATCCCATTACAATAATTGTAACAGAGTTTTTTCCTGTGTTTTAGCTACACCTGAATCCCTGCAGATGGCTTGTAGGAACAGTGGTTGGTGATCTGGTTGATCCCTTCCCATGATGGTCACCTCCATCAGCACTTCTGGTGTGGCTTTCTGTCTTGTCTTGGGATAGAGGCTGAGCTGACCTAGCAGAAATCATGCTTCTCACCTTTGTATTGTATACTTTCTTTTTATTTCACAATCAGTATAAGTTGTACTTTGCACGATGAAAAATTCTGACTATAGAAGTAAAGTTTTCTTAAATTTTCCAGTCACCTACAAAACTACATGGAAAAAAAGTATTTCGCCTATGATGTGAGGAGGTTAAGTGTCCAAAACTCAAAAATGATTCTATTTCATTTCTAACTACGACTAGACCTCTGGTTCTAGCAGTGTGTTCATTATGACGGTTCCATTACAACAAACAGTGTAGATACTGCTGGAGTCACTGTCCGCTAACTAGCATTGTGCTGTCTTAACACCTTTTCGCTTGTAGGAAAAAGAAGAATTGATTGAAGAGTGGCAACCAGAACCTCTTGTTCCTCCTATCTCAAAAGACCATCCTGCTCTCAACTACAACATTGTTTCAGGGTAAATCACTTTGCTACTGTTTCCTGTGGGTAAGCTCAGCAAAGTATACAGTAGTTTAATGCTATTCCTTTTTTACCTGAAATAAAATATTTAGGCCCTAACCCAGCCATGGGCAAACTATGGCCCGAGGGCCGGATCCGGCCCGTTTGAAATGAATAAAACTAAAAAAAAAAAAAGACCGTACCCTTTTATGTAATGATGTTTACTTTGAATTTATATTAGTTCACACAAACACTCCATCCATGCTTTTGTTCCAGCCCTCCGGTCCAGTTTAAGAACCCATTGTGGCCCTCGAGTCAAAAAGTTTGCCCACCCCTGCCCTAACCGGTTTGGCTCAGTGGATAGAGCGTTGGCCTGCGGACTGAAAGGTCCCAGGTTTGATTCTGGTCAAGGGCATGTACCTTGGTTGCGGGCACATCCCCAGTAGGAGGTGTGCAGGAGGCAGCTGATCGATGTTTCTCTCTCATCGATGTTTCTGACTCTCTATCCCTCTCCCTTCCTCTCTGTAAAAAAATCAATAAAATATATTTTAAAAAAAACATTTAGGAATGAGTGCTAATCAGAAACTACCTGCTTTAGTTCCCAATATAAAACTTTCTTTTAGGAATGGTATGGGCATTTTTTGTAGTCTCCAATTTGGGCATTACAGTTTGTCCCTTTTTCTAAAAAAAAATAAAATTATTTTTCAAAGTAATACACGCACATGATAATATGTCAAATGGTCAGACACACTTAAAATGAAAAGCAACACTCCTTCCCACCTGGTTTCTGATTTTACGTCTGTTGTAGGTTTCCTTCATAATAAGCTATTAACAGTTTGCTGACACTACTACTACTTGATTAACAGTGGAAAACACCTATGGACTCACAATATGAATTATGAAACTTCAGCTCACTTATCCTACCTCTCCTTGCTTCCAGTGTCTGATCTGTTTTTATTATTAGTTCTTCTGTTGGGTATCTTTGCTTTTTGTATGTGCTTTTTGTATGTGCTTTTAAGTGTTTTAAAAATACAGACACATATGTATTAATCATCCAGAATTAATAGGCATTTTGCTATCTTTACTTGAAATCTATTTTTAAAAAGAAAGAAACCATTACAAATATAGCTAAAGAAACTCCCATATATCACTTACTCTTGCCTCCCACACAATATCACCACTATCTTGAAGTTGGTGGATATTTTACTCTTTTACATTAGAATGATTGTTTTATGTGTTTTTATTGCACATTTAGGCACTTTCTCAATGTCTGGTGGTCCTTAGCATCTTTTTATCTTCAATATGCAGAATGTTTCATTATAATTAATAGCATAATATAAATAGCCTGCAAAAACCATGCACAAAAAAAATTTTGTTATTGATAAGTTTAGAGTTTTCAACTTATGCAGTTCCTCTTTATATTCAATACTGAGTTGACACAGAGTAAGTGAATTTACTTAACTTGGATAATTTTTTAAAATTTAAATAACAGCCTTATTGCAATATCCATATACCATTAAATTCACCCTTTTAAGGTACACCATTAAATGTGTTTTAGTATATTCACAGAGATGTGCAACTATTGCCACCATCCAATTTCAGAATTTTCATCACCCCAGAAAGAAATTCCACACCCAAGAGCATTTATTCCCCATTCCCTCTACTCCTCAGCCCCTGGCAACTATTAATTTACTTTCTCTATGGATTTGCCTATTCTGGGCATTTCATATAAAAGGAACCATTCAGTATGTGGCCTTTTGTATCTGCCTTCTTTCCTGGAGCCTAATATTTTCAGGGCTTATTATGCATGTTGTAGCATGTGCCAGTGTTTTATTCATTTTTATGGATAAAGAACATCCCACTCTGTGGATAGATCACATGGTGTTTACACAATCTTCAGTTGATGGACATTTGGGTTGTTTCCACTTGGGAGTACAAGAAAAAAGAAAATACATATAAATATGTATGTATATGTTCAAATACTTGTGAACACATTTTTGTGTGGACATGTTTTCATTTGTCTTGGGTATATACCTAAGAGTGGAATTGTTAATCATATAGCAACTCATTTTGAGAAACCACCAAACTGTTTTCCAAACTGGCTGAATCATTTACATCCCACCAGTAGTATATGAGAACTCCACTTTCTCCACATCCTAGCCAACCTTTATTTTCTGTCTTTTTAAATTATAGCCTTCCTAGTAGGTGGGAAGTAGTATAGCAAATGGCTAATGTTATTGAGTGTCTTTTCATGTGGTTATTGGCCATTTTCATATATCTTCTTTGGAGAATAGTCTACTCAGTTATTTATCTTTTTATCATTGAGTTGTAAGAGTTCTTTATATATTTTGGATACTAGGCCCTTATCAGATATATGATTTGTAAATATTTTCTCCCATTCTCTAGGTTTTTGTATCTTTTCTAGTGTACTTTGAAGCACAAATGTTTTTAATTTTTAAGATATATTTTTATTGATTTCAGAGAGGAAGGGAGAGGGAGAGAGAGAGAGAAACATCAGTGATAAAAGAGAATCATTGATTGGCTGCCTCCTGCATGCCTCCTACTGGGAATCAAGCCCACAACCCAGGCATGTGCCCTGACCAGGAATCGAACCATGACCTCCTGATTCATAGGTCAACGCTTAACCACTGGGCCTCACCGGCCTGACAAATGTTTTTTATTTTAATGAAGTCCAGTTTATCTCTTTTTACTCTTGCTGCTTGTGCTTTTGTGTTATATCTAAAAATCTTTGCCTAGTCCAGCATTATGAAGATTTACTCCTTTGCGTTTTTTAAGAGTTTATAGTTTTTGCACCTAAATTAGGTCAGTGATTTATTTTGAGTTAATTTTCATAATGCTGTGAGGTAGGGATTCATCTCCATTCTTTTACATGTGTATACCCAGTTATCCCAGCACCATTTGTTAAAAAGACTATTCTTTCCCTATTGAATTGTCTTGGCACTCTGATGAAAATCTATTTTTAAGACTGAGACACTGAAATGCTAATTCGAAGCCCTGTGTCAGTGGGCTGGGCTTCCTGACTGATAGTGGGCATCAATTTAGGATAATCAGACAAGGACCTGTCCATTTATTTGAGGGGATCCCAGATTCAGTATTTTCTGCTTTTCATGTCTTAACTTTGAATTTTTTTTTTTAAATTAAATCTTTATTGTTCAGATTATTACATTTGTTCCTCTTTTTCCCCCCCATAACTCCCCTCCTCCCAG